CACTTATCTACTACATTTCCCAGAATCCTCTTTGACTCCTAGTCCTGTCTAACTTGCTGTCTCATTGGCCAAACAGTATTTTATTTAACAATCAAAAGATAAACATACACAGTACATTCCCCATCAGAAAGCTTACTGCTTGCTCGAGGTATGTCAATAGTGGTTATGATGAGCAGTATTTAGTTAACTCTTGTTAAAGACCCTTTGGTCAAATGATAACATTTCTTCCCCAAACACTATCTTTTAATTTAGAATTTTTCCTAACTCAGAGAACTCCTTTGCACTGGCAAAAAAGTGTGGATTTAGCCCAGTGACTGTTGTGTTTCTATCCTCCTGTCTGTGCTAACCAGGAATGATGTCTTAAGCTAAACTTCAGAAGGAAGTGGATTTACATAGCTATTCTCTCCGAAGTGTATTCAATGCGACTGCATATTAAAGTTGATTGGCATGCGGCCCCCAACTGGGACACAGAATGGAAGCAGTGTCCCTTTTATTCTGAGCTTTCCCTCTAACCAGCTCCTGCTCACAGGCTAGAGAAGCAGCCGTTCCTTCCTCCCAGAGGCCTTTAACTTGAGGGGTCTATTAAAATAGTTTCAGCCACATCAGTAATTAGACAGAAAATGGAGATAAATTGGGGCCCACTAGGACGGTTTTAACCTTGTGTGTTTCCATCAATCAAGCAGAAAAGCTTTAGAGTCTAAAGTTTAGAGTCTGTGGTCGTTATCCCTGCTCAGCCACGCACACATTACACAATTTTATGCGATTCCTTGGACTCTGTTATTTAGTTTTCTCTTAATGTAAAATGCAGATATTGGCAGCACTTATTACACAGACATTGGTCTAGGGCTTACTCTATTATATTTATAAAAACTCTTGCAGAATTTTTAGATTTTCCAGTCATTGTCAAACATCACTCTTGTTAGAAATAAATAATTTGATAAAAAATTATGTGAAGTCTAAAATAATTGTTCAAAACTCATCACTTCAAAAAATTTGACTATTTTTACCAACGTCTATGTTTTCGAGGTTGCTTACATCTTTTGTATCCATATGGACAAATGACATGTAATGGTGGGACACTGGCTGTGAAGCTGTTGTTAGCTGCCACGTTCAGTGGCATCTCAGGACGGTGGCCAGGAGAAATCGGTGAACACTGTGTAAGACCCCTGGGAGCTCAGGCCCCAGGATCTCAGTCCAGGACCTCGGTCACCCCAATGACCAGGCGGATTCGAAAGCTTGCTGCAAACTGCATGAGGCTTTATTATAGTTGTTTAACAAGCTAACCCCATGTTAGCTCGGGCCTTCCATCCATCTACCATGGTGGATGGCTAGGAAAGACAGCTCGAAGCGTCTGCATAGAAAGACCTTATAGGGCAGCATAAGGGGAGTGTCTAGAGGTATGCACAGGCTCAGGATTGGTGTGCCTCCAGGCTTGGAGGGCTTGCCCTGTGTTGATTGGTCAACTGGTTGTTATGGCCAATAGGCCCTCCCAGGGTGGTTGCTATGCTCTGCGCGTCATTGCTGTGCACTTGTCCAAAAAGCACACCCAGAGCTGTAAAGCATAGCGCCACCAGCTAACTTCTGATTGGTTCCTTGCCATGAGGCAGGTATCTGACCTCTTAGTGACTAAGGCAAGGTCAGACAAGCATGTGTTCGGCTATTACGGTTGCCAAAATGGGGAGCTGGTCCCTTCAACTGTAACTCAGACTTTTGTTTGTTTTGAAAGCTGTTGTTAAACTTTAAGCAGTAAGCTTTTGCACATAGCACTTTTTAGCATTTGCCATCCTTAAAATATTTTAAATACGTTTAACTTTATTAATATATTTAATACAACATGTATGTTATATAAGTATATAATATATAGGGACTGGAAAGATGGCTCAGTGGTTAAGAGCTCTGGTCCTCTTCCAGAGGACCTGAGTTCAATTCCCAGTACCCACACGACAGCTTACAACTGTCTGTAATTCCAGTTCCAGGGAGTATGGCACCCTCCCACAGATATACGTGTGGGCAAAACACCAATGCACATAAAATAAAAATAAGTCTTTTAAAAAAGTAAAATATGTAGTATACAACGGATATTTGCTATTATATAAATATTTAGTGTGTGTATATTAGCAAGCAAGTATGATTGTCAATTTTAATTCTCAAAATATACTATCAACAATTATTTCTGATTTATTTGCTCTTTTAAGGTTTTGCTTACTTTTCTTTTATGTGTACAAGTATTTTGCCTCCGCATGCATGCAGTGCCAGTGGAGTCCAGAAGAGGGCATCAGATTCCCTGGAACTGGAGTTATAACTGTAGAGCTCCTGCACAGCGGTACCTGGCCTGAGAACCCCACATGCATGGGTCCTCTGCAAGAGCTGAGCGAGTTCTCAACTGCAGTTGCAACCCCAGCTCGTTCACTTTTAAAAATCTGTATCCTTTCCTCTCTCCTTCAGCTCCTTGTTTTTCTTCCTTTCCCTGCTTCCTCGCTCCTAAACATGGAGAATGGGTATGGAGAAACAGGGCAATTGCTCAAATCTATATTTCTTTCTTTCCTGCTAACCTCTGCTGCCTCGGTAATGAGCCCTAACACCCAGCTAGAGCTAGGTAGATGTGTCTTGACTCAGCACATAGCAACACGCTTGCCCTAGATAACCCCTGCTTTTCACACCCTCCCACGGGCAGGCCGGATGCTTCTCTTCACACTGGCCCTCTCCTTGCCCATGTGATTCTAGGTAGTCCACCTCGTGGTTAGGAACCGCTGCTTCTCAGCATTGCTGCCCCAACCATTCCCAGGATTCACCGGAAAGACTTAGAAAATGTTGTAGAACGTATAGTAGATAAAATCACCCCAAGTAGCTATGAATGGTCCACTATTGGGTGGAGAAGGATGCACACAAGATGGCCTTATTAAGGTGTTCCTTTGCCCCATCCGAAGATCTTCCTCTTTGCCCTCCTCCTCCTCGGCAGATGCCTCATTAAAAGCTCGTTCAGAGGCTTGCCATTCAGCCGCCTTGGCTGAGTCAACCTAACGACCTGCTTTGGTTCGTTTTACTAGAACTCCTTCTGTCCCGTGGCCTCATTCAACTCTCACCAACTTTGTTTTCAATGAACAGTTTTGAGGTTTGGTTTTAATGCAACTGGTCTTGGATGGATTCTATTTTAAACGATAGGTTACCATTGTTTTCCTAATGCAAAGCGACAATGGCGCCTGGATTTTGTGTGGCTATTGAGTATATAGAAATTCTGAATTGATGCAGTTCGACTCCATACTTGTGGCAGACAGTCATTTATAACTCCTAAACTGCAGAGAGGTCGAGGGATTTTTATGCCTGTGATGGCATAATTTTTTTTTTTTGCCTTGATCCCCATTAATCTTCCTAAGGTGTTTTATGATAAAAAAAAATACTTCAGAGATCAGTACTCTGTTCTTTTATTTATGCCACCGGCAATAAATTGTCTAAATATTCAAACTTGTACCTTCAAATAATCAGAATGAAAGAAATAAAATTTCAAATAGAAAGGTCCTTTTAGTGACCTGGTTCCCAAGTCTCTTAAAAACCAATTTGACATCTTTTATTTTAAGTTTTTACTGCCTAGGTCATTAACAGGCTATAAGTCGTCACTAACACATCCTCTGGGGAGATGCTTCGGCATCTGGCTCAGGAGTGACCATCTGTGGGGATAATTTAATTGTTCAACACAGCCAGCCTCTGGTGATGTCCAGGCTGCTTCTGCAGCCGGTTCAGCGAGCAGAGGGCAGCTGTGGGGTAGCAGTGGGGGGCAGCCTGGGTTTGTGCTCACAGGCTACAATAATCTCTTTGTCTCTTTCTTTCTGTCCATATACTTGTTTCATTTCCATTTATTGACTACTGTAGGCTCAAAACCAGTCCCTTTTGTCTCTGCCTCTCCAACTCCCAATACAGACTGAGATAAAAGTTCTCCTTTTGTGTAATAAGATACAATAGAGTAACTTGCACAATTGTTGAAAATGTTTTTGAATTCAGGGAAAAGGACTGCGATAGGGGGTTCCCCACAAGAGCAGGTGTTGAAATGTGTTTGAATGGTGGGCCATCTGCTAGGTCGCAGCCACCTGCTGGTCACAACTGGCTGCCTGACACATTGGGGTGTCCCCGATGAATACATTACATGAAATATATTAACATTATGATTGTAGGTCACCATGTCTGGCATGGCTTAGAGCTGAAATGAGAACAAGCCCATAAATTCCTTGCTGTGTTTGTTGTAGCCTGATACGAGAGCTTGTGTTTTTCCATTTGGCACTATTGAGGAAAGCTACCTCTATCATATTATGATATTCCAAAGACATTAATCTTGCAAAATGTAAAACTCTTCCTCTATAAAAGTGGACTTTTTTTATACAGCCAACTGACGTTCTACCCAACAGCACATCTCTTAGAGATATGACTCTTAACCCAGAGTTTTGTAGTGTTACCAGAACTCAGGGTTTGAACCATGACTGGAGTTATTTTGTGAATGGAGCATATGCCCATGCTGCCTTACTTTGTTTTGCCTTCCTTTGAGTGGTGCTTCTGTTTCTTAGAGCTTCTTCATATTTTTGAGGGGCATAGGTGTGGTGACTTTTGCAACCCTTATCTACATTATAGAGTGTTTTTTTGTGTTATCTAGGAGATCTGCTGATTGCTCCTACATCTTTCAGACAGTAAATTACTGTCCTGACTCTCCACCACTAAATATAGCTGACAGAAACCAAGGAAGCAGTTGACTACAGGGAAACGTTATAAATGGATTATAATTTTCATTTCCAAAGGAAACACAGTATTTAGACAGAGGAAATATGTTGGAGAATATCAACTGAGTGGCAGGAGCAGCTGGATCCAGAATAAACTGACAGATCTTGTAACTTCAGTGGATTAGAAAATTTCTTTCCCACGAACGAAAGCATACATAGAGAACAGCTTTCTGTTTTCTTTTCTAGTTTCTTCCTGTTTTTGTAGGAACTACAGCCACGAGTCATTTAAAGATGGAGGTATGTCATGTGGCAACCTCGCCACTGCATGCATTTGTGTAGACCTAGCTGGTTACATGGCCTCTTGATGCAATCCAGAGACAAGGTAGGTATGAGATGTGTACAACTGCTGCCCATTTGACATGGCATACTGTTTCAGTGACCTGTTTCTTTAAGCAGTAGTACTACACTCTAAAATAATGTCAAAAGTATAATGTCACATATTATCTGTGGTACATAATAATGTGTGCTGTGTTTCTACATGGCAGGCAGTAGATTTGTTTACACAACAAATGCAAGGCAATGAATACAGTGTTACAATGAAATACAAATCTGGCTAGTCCATCATTAGATGGTTGTTCCCCAGCTCCATTACAACCTTATGGGACAACTGTTGTGTATGCTGTCTGTCACTGGCCATGTGGTCTGGAGCTATACAGATGGACTACAGTGATGTAGTCACACTCTTCAAGAGCAGAAGGATCACAAGCAACATAGTGTTAGTTTGTGAGTTTCATCTAGAAACTCAAACTATCGTCCAGGCTCTGCTTCTCTTCACAAAGAACACAGAGTGGAACCAGGTCTCCAGGACTCTGGGAATTTGAGAGGAATATTTTGAAAATAGCTCCAAATATCTCATGGACTCCAACAGGTCAGTGTGAGCCTCAATATATGATGAGTGAAAATGTTCTAACAAAAGAGTTGGGAGAGAGGAAGAAGAGACAAAAGAGAAAAACACAGGAAGGAATAGACCAAGCTTCCCTGGGAAGAGGCCACTTTTGTGACAATGGGAGCAGGGAAGAGAAGAGTTCTTGGTCTTGCACTGGGAGAAGCCCCAAATGCATGAAGTTGACATAAGGATATTGGCACTGAAACCTAGCTCCCCTGATCCTCTTCATAAAATGGAACAGTCTTCCAGCAGCTTAATCGGGCTTTTTTTTACAGAATGAGCGATAACACAATTGCTGTCATTCATGAGTACTGTAAGAACATCCTGAGGATTCATTAGCTGCATGGCTGTTGGATGTCATGACTCTACAGAGAGTCTGATTCCAGTGAAGATGGGCATTATTATAATTGGATGAACTAAAAAAAGATTTCTAAAAACAACACATAAATTTAAGATGTTGCATGCAGCTTACAGAGGGGAGCAGAGATCTGAGTTGTGTTGTGAGGAGGTATCTTTTGCAAACGCAGGGAGAAATACAAAAATAGAAATCTGAGCAGTGGCTCACAGCCAATTTTACGCCATTTGTATTGAGTACAAATTGTACCACCACATTCATCTTTAGTAAAGAACACATCCTGCCCAAATAAGAGGCTGGCTGAATGTGATTTATGGGGTACTTTTAAAGAAAACGTGACTTCTGGGAAATAAATGAGAGGGAATCAATTGGAACAGCTGTAAACAGTGATTATTAAAAATCAGGAAGGAAATTCTGGAGCCATATAAATTGGAACATAAGCAGGAGATGCACTGATGAAATAGCTACAGATCAAAATTCAACTCAGGTTCTTTGTAGTGAAATAACCATAACCGAGTCATACTCCTTGTATTTTTCCAAAGAAGATAAATTATAGTTGTTCATGACTTGAAAGTGGAGCTGTTTCAGACTTCTATGTATTTAATGCACACAAAAGGCAGGTTCAAAGCTCAATGAAATCACCCACTGATAGGACATCTCCGTCCTTAACAGCTTCAAGTCTAGACAAATGTAGCTATTTCCAACATTGTGATTTTAATTAGCTCAGGAGCTCTGGTCTGTGAGCACCTTCTGATGTGATGCAGTGATGTCGGCAATCAAGAGTCAATCAGATACTTAACGTAGGAAGTGCAGAGCCCATCATGACTGGTTCAGACTGGGAAATAATAAAAATACACACATATGCATGTACATATGCATATTATTTTCTGTGCTCCCTTCTATGGCACAGAACTCCTAAAGGGTTTATAACATCTAAGTGACAGGAGTTCTGGACACATCTTCTGGTGTAATATTTGGTTTAGTCCCTGCTTTCTAATACAGAGCTCCTAACTGTATAGAATTTCCTGAGTTTTAGGGACTGCCTTTGTCTTAATGAAGTAACTCTGAGTGGACTCCTGGATGGGAACTGGCTACTAGAAAGACAAAACTAGGATTAAAAACCTAGAACTTGTACTTCCACAGTCATGTTCCAGAGGAGAGAAAGATTTGAGATAGAGCTAGTAAGTGGTCATGCCTGTATGAAGCTCATCCCTGAGCTGCAGTGGCTGGGGCGTTTTCTGTTTGTTGCACATGTGTGGTCCGAGGAGGATGTTTTCTCCTATGCCTCTGCCCTCACACCTTGCAGTATAAATCTCTTCCATCTAGAAGTTCATATATATCCTTGATAAGTGTCCTTTGTTATAAACTACAAAGTTAAGTAAATGTTCTCATGAACTCTCTGAGCCATCCCAACAAATTAACTGAGCTGAAAGGGGGCCTCTTGGGAACCCCCCACTTATGGCTAGTTAGTCAGAAGTTCTGGAGACCCAAACAAAATCGTCTTCTGAAGTTGGAGGCTGACTCATAAAGCTGAGACTTTAAGCTGTAGGAATTTGACTCTAACTCCAGGTAGACCATGTGCGAATTGAAGTCCAGGATGCTCATTTGGTGTCTGTGCAAGACTTGCTTGGTGTGGGGGAAATCCCACAAGTCTGGTGTCAAATGAAATGTTCAGTGGTGATCAGTGAGTGTGAGAGCAGGGGAAATGATTGAGACTGTAAGTTTTTCTTACGTGCAACAAGCCTTCCTTCCGTGCTGTGGCACAATCACTGGTTATAACAGAGCTGCAACTCTTCCTTGATTCTCGCTTACTCCATCTTCTCTTGTCATGGCTGCCTTCCTGCCACCACTAGCGGGGTGTGACCACTGTGTGGTATTTGTTAACATGTCATAAGAAGCAGTGAGAACTAGCAAGAATCATTGCCAGTTGGGGATGGGAACTGGGCTGTTCTTCACCAGAGAACTGTCCCTAGTCTTCACCTGTACTGGTGTGTCTTCTGCACCCATGGGTGGGCTCTTGGCCTCCCAGGACTTGGTTGTGGATGATAGATGCTGGGAGGTGCTCATTCCAGGAACAGATACCCATTGTTTTCACCATGACTTAGAGAGGTCTATTTTCACCAAGCTCAAGTACTATTAAAACCCAAGAACACACCAGGCTAACTTCCAGCTCACCACCAATATGCTCACCATGCCTCAGACCAAGGAATTTCTGAATAAAAAATTGTGTGTGTTCTCTGTGCAGAGAGACTTAGCAAAAAAAAAAAAAAGAATATTTCCTCATTATAAAGTATGAGGCTTCAAATGTAATTAATGTGTAGATCAATTGAATCATTAATTTTTTCTTAAACAAGTAGGAAATGTATACAGGTTGCATTCAATTTTTCATTGACATGTCCTTCTTTCCCAGATTTTCATAAAGAAGTGAGATGTATCTATATAGATACATACTCTTATTTTTCTTTCTTTCTTTCTTTCTTTTTTTTTTTTTGGTTTTTCGAGACAGGGTTTCTCTGTGTAGCTTTGGAGCCTATCCTGGCACTCGCTCTGGAGACCAAGCTGGCCTCAAACTCACAGAGATCCACCTGTCTCTGCCTCCCTAGTGCTGGGATTAAAGGCATGCGCCACCAAGGCCTGGCTAGATATATATTCTTGATTAAGGAAATTCTCCAGTATCTCCTAGCACAGAGGTTACCACCTTATGTAAATGTAATGAAAATAATGAGCAATAATTTATTCTGTGTTCACAAGTATTACAAAATAATAACAGCAGTGAATGATAATTAATCAAGGAAATATATGTATAGAAATTACTCATTAATATATTTGCATAAATGTTTTCTAGCCAAATGTGAAGGGAGAAATCTTCCCCCGCTCTATCATTTAATTTTCAAAAACAAAATAAAGATTAAATGAGCTTTTACCTTCCCAAGTTGGATTGTCTTTAGAATTTCAAGGTCACCTATGAATTAGGCTCCCCTAAAGCTCAAATAGTGAACATTTTGTACCTATATATATTTTTTTTCTGGAAACAAACAGAAAGTCCCACATAAACTTTATTTGTAGCATCTAAAAAGAAATTATTAATTAATGAAAATTATCATCAGGATTGACATATATCAGGATTCAATGTCTTGAGGAGGGGAAATTATGAACTATTTTATGTCACTGATAAATGCCACTAAATAAGAATCCTGCATTAAGGTCCTGTATATGCAAGGGCTCAGACTTGCTTAATGGACAATATGGGGTCTTGTGTCTTGTATCTTATACTGCATACTTGAAAAGTGTTTTTTCTTAAAATTCCATGCAATGAAAGTAATACCTATGTTGTATATGTTCAGGGGGACTGTGAGCATAGTCACTGGAGATTCAGATTTTAAAGGCTCGCCCACTCTGCACCTCACCTGGGATAATCAATGTGTGAGCCAATAAACTCCACATTTACCCACTAGCCTTTTTTTTTTTTTTCTTTTTTAAATACTTACCCTTTCTTCTGACAGCGTGGAGGTATTTACCTTTAAATGCAATGTTCTTTCTGGAAATAATACATGAAAAGGAAGCCAGAAATTACTAGCTAGGGAGAGCTAATTGGATTACGGGTAGGAAGCCCTGGGAATTCAAAACCTTCTTATGAAAGCAAACTCCCCGGACATCCACCCTCCTGAGGCCTTTCCCCTGGAAGGCTCTGCCTTGCTTCCGTTACTAAATCTTGCTGTGCCTCCTGTGGGATATGCCTGGGTAAGAAAGAAATCCAGCTCGTTTCAAGCCAGTAAACTATCAAACATCAGTGACAGTCGGATCATTCATCATGGTTTTCGGAAAAGTTCTTTAGAAAAGCTTGTGCGGAAAGGCAACGAGGAGGGGTTAAAAGGTTACATAACTGATTCCAGCTCCACATACAAAGAGTTTCATAAAGGCCCGGAGCTCAGCGATGAACAGGCTGTGTGTGGGCTTTTATCTAGCAGGTATTTGTTAAAAATACGATGGTCTACTGATTTCCGCATAACCACAGCAGTTTAACAACAGGCAGCAGCTGATGACTCCGAAATCAGAAATATTTCCTGTGGGGGATGTGGATGTTCGATGCTAAAACTCACGTTTATCGTGAGTGAGGCTCTGATTCGACCCCAGCTGTTTCTTTCCTTTTTCTTTTTCTTTTTCTTTTTCTTTTCTTTTCGTTTTGTTGTTTCTTTTTTTTCCAGATTTTTTATTTGAATTAGAAACAAGATTGTTTTACATGACAATCCCAGTTCCCTTCTCCCTCCTGTCCTCCCCTACCACCC